ATAAATTACTAATAATTGGGTTTTTTTAAAATACTATGTGTAGTGAAGTCTACTTCAAACTACATTTTTAATTTAATTGTATGTTTGCAATTTTTATGTTTCTTAATATGTTTCTAAGGAGACTGTAGAATATATAAAGATGGTTAACAGAAAGACTGGATTTGCAGAACTAGATGGCTTGATTCTACTGACTTTGTCACTTGGTGTTATGAAAGAAGGTGCTAATAGCACCAGCAATTTATAACTGTTAATGCATCTTTCTTTAAGAGTCCTTTTAGGTTGGTTAAAAGAAAACATGTTTAATAACTTTGAAGTTTATTTTCACAGCTAGCACTTCCTATTAGTTAGAATCTTTTAACAAGAATTTGTACACTGTTCTAGAGATCAGCTGCAGTTTGTGCCTATTTTATCATACCTACTGTGTGAACTCAGATCTGTGGCTTTTATCCTTGTTTCTGTATGTAAAGTCTTACCCTAAGCACATTAGCAGATGCTGCATTCCTTTTGTAGCTTTGGGTTTACTTTGTCAGGGCCCTTGAGGCAAAAGAGGGTTCTCCAGCTCCTTGAGTGCTGGGAAACTTGAAAGATATAATCCACAAAGAACATGGACTTCCTAGTGATGTCTTTGCAAAGGAAATGTGATAAGGTAAGGTGTTAAAACAAACCTGGCATTACAAAGACTACCTTTCCCAGCACTCAGGCAAATTGACCCTAACTGCTTGCTGGGTGACTGCTGTACTTTTTCAGTCCTTGTGCAGCAGCCCTGAAGGATTGTTGTGAGATGCATTGAGAGACAAGAATTCAACTTGTTACTATGTACAGATGTACTTTAGCTGTTCTGTTCTCAGGGCTTGTACTTGGATGGTAGTCTGCAGCATTTGTATTTATTTGTAATTAAAAGATTTTTAAAAGTGTGAATCAAAATTGAACTATTTGTTTATCTTGCTCTGTGATATTAATTCTGGGAAGTACATGGAAATTCCGGATCCTGCTTTTAAAAGTAGAATTTATATTGTTGGTAAAGATCTTAACAAATCACCAACTCTCCAAACTCCTTTACAATGACAAACTTATATATTTTTGTAGGTTTGATCTGCCACCACTTATCCTGTTTTCAATGGATGGATTTAGAGCTGAATACTTGCAAACTTGGAGTTCTTTGCTGCCAAATATTGAAAAACTCAGTAAGTTACCAAGAGTGCTTTGACTATTTTCTTTAAAAGTCTACATGCAACTTCCCCAGTCCCTTTTGCTGCTATGTCATGCATATGTCTTGCTCAACAATAAGAAAGCTACAAATCTGGTCTCCCTCATTAGTTGCATATTTTCATCATAGTAAGTTCTACATTAATTCTTGTATTTAAGTGCACCGCAAACATGACTTTTTAAAATAAGACATCTTATAAGTCTGCAGTTTTTTATTAAATAAACAGTTGTAAATATACATTCAAGCACAGTTTAAGGCTGAAAAATAGTTCCAGAGAAGGATTTCCTGCATTTGCTGTATTCTTTTGAAAAATTCTAGCTGATAAGGACATCATCATTAAAGTATAACATGAAGAGAAAATGCATTGAGTTATTCGGAAATTTTCCTCAAAATATGCACTTTTTCAAGTCAAATATTTTAATCTATTGAAGGGAAGCTTCATATATAAAAGCATGTCAGTGAATATTATTATATTAGACTTAAATGTAATGTAATTTACATATTGACATAATTTAATAAATGTATCAAGTAACTGTTTCCAAGTCTTTCTGAATACTGGGAGAAAAAGCATGTTGAAGAGCTTTAGCTTGTGCTGTAGAGGGCTCTAAGAAGTCAGATCCATGAGTGCACAGTCCATATTAGAATTTCTTTAATATTTTAGAGCTCAGCTCTCAAGATACTTTGTACCTGGACAAAATGTCTGCATACTTATTAATTTCTTCTCAGCAATACTAGTCTAAACTGACCATGTTCATGTGTTCTGACTATATCATATTCTGTTTCTTTTGTGCTCATTTCAAAATTTCACATGGATGCTAAAAAGTACTACATTTTACTGAATAGTTAACAATCTTGTTTGTGGATAATGAGGATATCCAGAAGCCTGAACTTGAAGCAGTGTGCAAACCTGACTTCTTGTGCAATTATTTTATTCTTTGATGTCATTCTGACATTGGAAGGAACTTGAATCAGTGAAGGAATCATGAATGTAGAAGTCAGTGATCAATTCAAGTATTTTGAAACAGTTGAAAAGGAAATGCCAGATTGACAAAAGGCATGAAAACCATGCTAAGTGTATGTTTCCAAGAAGTCTTTTCAGACAAGAGCTTATCTAATTCAGCATTACTCATATTTGTGGTCAATTTTAACAATTGCTTATGCACATCAATGCTTATAATTCTCAGAAATCTGCAGTGGAAAGGAAAGGGAATTTTCTTGCTTTGCAAAAGAAAAAACACAATGCTGAATTGTAACATAAAATATTTCCTCTCTAGTAACTCCATTGACCTAGGATTTTCAGCAGAGCTAATCAAGCTACTTGTTACAGAATATGTACACTATGAATGTAGCTCCTTCACTGTTAAAGAGAAATCCATAAAATATTATGCTGAGTTTCTAATGTATTTGTCAATTATTCAGCCCTTCTTTACACACTTTTTAAGCCTTTTTTCCTGTACCACACCAGAACAGTTTTGTAGAATAAATTTAGGCTTTCATTTTTCAGCTGAGGTTGTTTACTTAAAATCAGTTTCAGAAATGCTATACATCAAAGAATAAGAATAAAGTGTGTTTGAGTGTGAATCAAATAATCATCTGATTACAGCTTAATACAGAACTGTTTCTCCATGTGAGTTAGATTAAAAAAGGCATGGTAACTGCCTTAGATTGCTGAGAAGTAGTGCCAGGTTTGGAGTTAAAGGTAGGACACCTGAGGTAGGATTCACTCCAGGGCAGGACACCTACCTTTAGATCTGTTCTTGGAGGTGTCTGCATGTGAAATATCTACATGCTCTTTGTAGTCAGTGCACTTATGGTTGGTACAGCTTGTACAGCCCAGTGCAAGATCCTAGGGAGCAAATCAGCTCAACCGACAGACAGAGGGTGCCACAGGACAAATTATCGCCTTAACTTGTGTTTCTAGTATGCTTCAGAGTACTGTAGGGTATTCTAGGTGGCCTTCAGCAACCATGTCAGGACAGGTTTCCCAGTGATCTCGCATCAAAACTGCCAACTTTCATGAAGATGTCTTGGATATCTGAGGATATCTCAAATGGCATCAGACTCCAGTGCTTTAGCAACTGAGTCCTTCCCCTACATCTGGTCACCAGACAGCTCTGCAGAATATCTTGCCTGGGCTGACCTGAGGCTTCAGTCTCATTATGTGAACATATATGTCTAGTACCATTCTGGGCCTTGGAAGTATCTGAGACACTCATTTGGGTTGTCAGACAAGATGTAGGAGCAGCATCTGAAGGCCAGGCAGGATCATTAAAGATGTCTCAAATTGGCCTAAGTGCCAAGGCATTAGGCAGCTGAATTGAGTGTCCAGGGTCCATTGATGCAATGAGGTGGTAGGCCTAGCTCGCAAGGAGACACCAGAATTTATGTGTCTTAATTTGGAGTCACATTTCCCCTCTAATAACACAGCAACTGACTGATTTTTAGTCTTTGTCTTTAAGGCTGTTAGTTTTCCATTAAAATTATAAGCAAATTTATATTAATTCCATGATCTGTTGCAGAAACATGTGGCACACATTCAAAATACATGAGAGCTGTTTACCCCACAAAAACCTTTCCAAACCACTATACTATTGTCACAGTAAGTGAGAATTTGCTATTTTTCCTTTTTCATTTTCTGAACAACACAGAAAGGATTTTGTGGTGCAAATCTTTTTGTGGGACATGGGAACTCAAGCTACAGGAGTAAAAGAGAGAGTACATGCAGGTGTGATCTATGTGGCTATATAGGTGTGCTATCTGAGGCTAGCCTGTGAACCAGTTTTTCCTGATCTTTGTCAGCTTCATTGGATACGGCTGAATATGGGTGAGGGCACAGCCATTTGATGAGAATGTGTGTTAGGATGGGTTTGGCAGCTGATATATAGCCACGTGACATATACAGTACTTAATCTATAGCACCAGGTTTTAATTGGGCTGGGGAGAAAATAGGGAAACTCAGGGGAGCTTGACAGGCGTGCTGAATTCATTGGCAGAAATCTGATGATCTGTATGAGTTAGGAAAGTGTGTACTGTTTCTGTGATAAAAGAGCCCTAAAAATAATTGCAACACTGCAACAGTGTGCACTGCAATATAGTTTAGCCTCTGTTTGATTTCAAGTTTAATCTTTCTTTTGTTTATTTTCATTTTGCAGGGATTGTATCCAGAATCTCATGGTATTGTCGATAACAACATGTATGATGTAAACTTGAACAAGCATTTCTCACTTTCAGGGATGGAAAAATTCAAACCTTCATGGTGGAAGGGGCAGCCAGTAGGTTTATTTCTCATCATGATATTCCTTTATATCTACAGTGGCTTATGTACCACATTGTAAAACAAAACAAAAAGAGACTAAAATGCCAAGCTGTGTGATATATTTGCAGTACATGCTAAATATCCTGTAGGCTTTGAATTATAGGGTGCCTACAAAACAGTTTGCTTGTTATGAAAGTAAAAGAACTCTTAAAATGATAATTCTGAGACTTAAAAATTTCACTTGATGTGACAATTAGTAAAAAAAGACTTAGATATTTTGGCTAGTATTCGAATGGATCTCTTGCCACAGGAAGCCACAGGAAGCCCACATTTTTTATATGGTTTTATTATGGCGGCGTTTTTTGTCTTTTGACAACTAGCTACAAAATTAAATCTGAAAATCTGCATCCAAGTTATAGTTCAGGCATATAAAAGCAAGGAGGACAATAGCAAAGAGCTTAATTTCCGGCAAAATGAACACTTATATATAACATATGGCACATTTAATTAAACCCCCCACGCAGACCCTTATTGTTACGGTTATGATTAATATTATTAATTTACTAGAAATGTCAAGCTGTAATAATAGTAAAAAATACATGTAGTATATAGTATATCTATGTAATATACATTTACATATTTATTTATGTGTGTGTTCATAAATATATATGTCTGAGTAGTCATGTTTATAGTATACTGAAGTACACAGGTTTTGGTGTTACTGTTTCATGAAGGATTCCATCAGGTTTGTAAAAGAACTATAGCTGCACTTTTTAAGATAAACAGAAATATACTCTCATAATTATGTCATGTAACTAGAATCCATAGAACAGGATAAAATACGCTATTTCAGTTGAAAGGGACCTACAATGACCCTCTAGTCCAACTGCTTAACAAATTCAGGGTTCAAACGTTATTAAGAGCATTGTCCAAATGCCTCTTAAATACTGACAGTCTTGGGGCATCAAACACCTCTCTAGGAAGCCTGTTCCAATGTCTGACCACCCTCTCAGTAAAAAAAATGCTTCATAATGTCAATTCTGAACACCTTCGGCACAACTTTGAACCATTCTACCATTTTCATGATCCATTCCACTGGCATTTGCCACAGGAAAAAAGACTACCTGTTACCAATCATGGAAATACCTGTATGATTTTTTTCAATGCTGAGAATACCCAAGAAATGGCAAAATCCAGGCTTCCGTGCTATTACTTTTTCTTCAGAAAAGTCTTTTTTGTAGAAAACAAACTTCAGATGAGATATGGTCATTGGGCAACTGCTCTATGTGTGAAAGAAGAAAGATAAATGCATACTTACAGCCCACATGTATGATACAATTATGCATTTTTACTTTGGTGATCTGAGGTCCTCCAGTGGTGTAAATGTTATTTGTTTGTATCTTTACCCGTAGCTCTGGCTGACAGCAATGTACCAAAATTTGAAAGCAGGCACTTTCTTTTGGCCAGGGTCTGATGTTCCAATTAATGAAACATACCCCACCTTGTACCATGTATTCAACAGGTAAGTTTTTATAGGATTTGTAGTAAATTCCTGTAAATTACTCCAAAAATCAAAATCGCCATATGACAGTTGAAGGAAATGAAATATAAAATTTTTAAGCTACGAGATATTTAAACAACAGTCTGAGAGAAGTGCCATGTCACATCGTCCTTGTTTTGCCATGGAACTACCAATAACAGTTGAAATTTTCAAAACCATTTAGGGAATTCACAATGAGAAAATGAAGAGGTACTGGATATTCTCCTCTCCTAGACAGCTCTGAGAGTTTCAGCCAACTGCAAATGACCAATCTCCCACTAGGAAAGCATCCTATAACTATAGGATGCCTATAATTAGTAGGCACTGCTAAGCTATACCAATGATTACCATATTTCTACACATAAAATCTACGCATACTATATCGTCCTTTGAAAATACTTGTACTTAAGAATAAGCTTTCAGATGACCTATGCTCTAAGATAGTGAACACAGACTTGGAAGCCATTGCAAAAGGCTATAGAAGGCAGAAACTAATGGAAGAGGAGTTGCTGGATATTGCAGGAAGGTCTAGATCAATTCCCTCTGCTCTTGCTAGCATGTGTGATAATGTGCACACTGCTGCTAAGTCATAGTTCTGTGTTTTGTCTAGTTAATTTACAGGTTACACATGTGAAAATATAGCAATTAGTCATAGTATTTTTTTATTATGGAAGGCATTGATATCGATAAAATATTTCTAAATTTTTGTAATGCTTCCTGTAATTCTCCCATGATTCTTCACATTCACAAAGATAATCTAAAGAGACAAATGTCTAATTTACTGTTAAAAGTGAGTTAAATTAGATCAAAAAATAGAGTAATAAAGCTGATTGCTGGTACTTTGTTAAGATGCATAATTTCTGAAATCCAAATCTGTGACTTTAATATATGATAAGAGGGTGAACACTTTCTTTGTATCTTGGAATAAGATCTTATCAGAAAAGGCTTGTTAACATAATATTGTTTTGGGCTTTTTTTCAGTTCGGTTACATATGAACAAAGAATTTCAGGAATATTGGAATGGCTTGATTATACCAAATCAGAGAGGTAAAATGTTTAGCTGGTTTGTGAGACGATAGCTTAGAAAGGTTTTAATGCTTAGCAATTGAAATGTCTATTGGTGCTTGTGAAGGATGGAATCTTCCTCACCATCTCAAATGATAATTTGCTGAACTTAAGTCTGTTCTATAAGTATAGCTATTAATTTTCAAGATGAGATTGTAGATACAAAAGATTTTTTAAAAGTACATGTGTCTGAATGGGATGTACTGTTGCATGAGTATTCTTTTATTGTTCTGTCTTTCTAGGGGTGGCCTAGAGGAAACATGGAACATTCAGTTTCTGTCTAAGCATATGGATTAAATATTTTATACGAAAAATATTGCACAAAAAAGGTTAAATATCTGAAATTAATTGCAGGCAGTAATTCAGGATGAGAAGTAGATGTCAGCACTGACTGTGGTGCTCAACTTTTTGACGTGTAAACTAGTGAAATCTTTTCCAAGATAATTTTTTATCAAATTCCTAATGTATTTGCATTTAGAAGATGCTCTCTGTAGCCTCACTGCTTAATCAGGAAGAGATCCTTTAGGTGATAGATCCACTTTCTGCTCAAAAGGAACAGCTTGCTTTGCTGTCTGAGATCTTGAAGTTTTTCAGAGTGATTTCTGGATACCAGTTAAAGACACTGAATACTATTTCTGAAATTGTGACTTCAAATAGTCCATGTTGATTAGTTACAAAACTCAGAGGAGGTTAAATGATTGTATTTGCTGTAAGGACTTTTATTAAGGCTCAATGAAGTTACTTATAATTCTGTTTTAAGTTTAATTTAGGGGTTTTTTTTTAAATGAAAGTGTTCTTTTGAAATGCTGTTTCCAGAGTCTCATAATATTCCATTCTTATTTATTTCTAATTTGAGGCCTGATTTCTACACTTTATATATTGAAGAACCAGATTCTTCTGGACATTCATTTGGACCAGTTAGTGGTGGAGTAAGTATTTTTTGTTTTTTTTCTTAGACTAAATTGCACTAAAAGTGGTGCTGTACTATGAACTTAACCAGCTTATAAACATGGAAAAGTTAGTAGATAAAAAATTGTCATGACTATTTCACGTGTTTTTATTAAGAACTCATGCTTGTGTTTGAGCCCATTATTATTATTCCAATACTACGAAGCAGAACAGCTGTAAGCTAAACAGACTGGCGGAAAATCATTTCAGATCATACCATTAGAAATAATACTAATGATTGTATTTAGACTGAATTTTAATTTTATTGGCAACTGATATTTGGAAGCATGTGGCCTGGCAAATTCTCAGAACTGTCATTAGAATATTCTTAACACTGTACTTCAATGTTTGCTAAGTTGTAACCCAAAAATATTACACTTCTACTTGCATGCAGGCAAAAAGTTCAGTCTTTAAGAAGCATGGGAATTAGCACATCAGCTCCTTCCTGGAATGGTTTTGTTTAATATATTTGAAAATGGCCTTCAATAAAATGCCTTGTTGTAGTGGACAAGGGCAGAAGAACTGATCTTTGTAGGATAGTTTAGGCTCCCTAATTGGAAAGGGAGCTCTATTTCTCTTTGTACATAAAGGGCTTGAAAACCCATTACTGTATGTGTAATTGTACATGTATACGTTGTCTATGCATTCAAGAGAGTGCAGCACAGTTAGGGTGCAAGTGCTCAGATGTGGAGTCCTCAGACTCAGTTGGGTGTCATCCTTACTGTAAGACTCATGGGAAGACTCTAAGTCAGCTGCGCCTACAAGGGAAAAGCCATCCTCTGTGAATGGCTGCAGGGTGGGTTGTGCTAGATTTCTCCCATATTTCTTTAGTGGTGGTCAGTGATTTTCTGCAGGAAGTTTAAAGGGACTGTTTATATGAGAGAATGGCACCATGGCTTCCGGTCTTATATAATCCATGTGTGTAAATATTTTTGAAACACTCATTAATACAATGATATGATTGTACTACAACAAAAATTCATGTTATGAATCTGACATTTTGTATAAGTTTGGCAGTGAGGAACAAACTTTATTTGAATGTGTTAATTTTTTTCTTTCAGTACACATTTTAAAGTTCAATTTTCTAAGGTAAGAGGAAAAATAATTGTGAGTCTTAAGTCGCATATATAGTTGGTAGAGTAGTGGAATTCTGGCCATCTGTACTGTAGTGGTGTCGGAAAAAGAAAAGAAACAATATTAAGAACCTGAAAACTGACAGAAAATCTCCCTTTTTTCAGACTTTGATGATTATATTTAAGTGAGAACTTGAAATTCGAAAGAAAAATCCTAATGAAGCTAGTTTATCTTCCAGGTAATCAAAGCCTTACAGGTAGCAGATCAAGCACTGGGGATGCTAATGGATGGACTTAAACAGAGAAACCTGGACAAATGTGTAAACCTCATTGTTTTAGCTGATCATGGTAATGTATATAGTTCCTTTTTCAGTATAAATGTTACTGAGTCATTGTTTTCTTCCTCTGTGCAATGTGTGCTTACTGCTTTTAATCTATTTTAAAATCCACTTTATCTTCCTTGCCATGCACTGTATATATAAAAAATAACAGTTTCTATATTGTCCTTTAGGGATGGAGAAGACCTACTGCAGACAGTTAGAATATATGACTAATTACTTCAAACAGATTGATTTCTACATGTATGCTGGGCCTGCAGCTCGCATTCGAGCAAGAAATGTTCCAAAGGACTATTTTACCTGTAAGTGTGGACCAATCCTGGGATTGCACAATCAATATAACAGTAAATAAGTAAGTAAGTAAGTAAGTAAGTAAGTCAGAGAAATGGATAATCAGTAGTAATTAGCAGAGCGAACAGCTTTCTGTTTCACTTAACCTGTTTCACTCAACATCCATAGAAGTTGTTGGGGTATTCTTTTTCAAGAACAACCCCTTTAGTTTAAATTGAAGATTAGAAAATCTTGTTGCAGACTCTGATTTGCATTTTCTTGGCATGTGGGAAGATGAAGTAAAGATGGCTTTATTGTTTTGAACTGGAATTTCAGGTCTTTTGTAAGTGCATTGCTCTTCATGGATTTCTTGTGCAACATTGGTAAGAGTCAGCCTTTTTGAAGCAGTGGCTATTTCTGGGTGTACAATGTAATGGAATTTGAGTCTTAGCAGAGTCGGATCTAAGTCTTGGTTGTGCCCTTTAGCTAGTATCACAAAAGAACACAAAATTGAAACCATGTGAGCTGACTGACTAGGAATAGATACTGTGCTACCAAACTGAAAAACATCCCAAGACTTTCTATATCAGGGGAAAGAATGGAGAGAGATAAAATCATGGAAATGCTCTATTTAGCAAGTTTATAGAATTCATGAAGTATTCTAAAAGGCATAATTCTTGGAGATCTGAAAGAAGAGCTGGGATCCTATTGTACTTTTAATTTGTCTTTTCTAATTGTATTTATATTTGTAGGAACAATATTTATACAACATAAAGCAGACTATCCTTGGTCTAAGTAGAAGACGGTCTAAGTAGAAGACGGTCTAAGTCAGAGAGGAGCAGAGTTTTAAGTAGAGGAGAGAATAGTGATGTTTGGTATGTCTTAATCTCAGTATAATTGTTGACCTATTTCCTCTAGTGATCTTACGTTTTCTGAAAGAATTTTCCTTCTGCAAAATGCTCAGATTTGTTTTTAAGAAAGCTAATGTCAAAAGGTTAAAGTCACTTTTAGAAAATGTAGAAGGTGGAAGTACTAAGACAGACTGGATTTTTCTCTGTGACTGCTGCTGGAAGTGGAACACAAGACAAGTGCTCCAGGTCCAGTTGAATGTAAAAAAAGGTTATACTTCAAACAGAGGTTAGGTGGGAGAACAAAAATTTGGCTCTGATCTGTCAGCTTCAGGTGTAGGCAGTCATCACCATGACAGTGTTCTACAGTTTGTTGCGATGTACCCAAAGTGCTTGGTACTTCCAAAGGCTTCCACGCTTACAGACAGTTATGCTTAGGAACATAACGTTCCTACCAGTGGAAGTTTATGGTTACCATAATCTTCACAGGCTAATAAATTTTACAGACAAATAGCATTTTGAAATTTTTCTTAAGAGGCTTTGTACCTTTGGCTGTTTAAATGTACGTTAATTCATCTTTTCTTTTTAACAGTTGACTCAGAAGGAATTGTTAAAAACCTCACAGTGAGTAAATATTTTAATATTTTTCCCTCATAGTTCCTCTTAATAGGAATCTTATCAAAAAGCACAGTTTGTGAAAAGTTGAGACTATGGTGCCAGTTTAAATAGTATACTGGCTCCATACTGGTATACTGGCTGCTTTCTCTCTATGTATTGTCACAATGTACTCTTTTTTCCTTCATTGCCAGTTTGCTTTCTATTCTGTGACTAGTCCTACTTCAAGCAGTAGACAGATGTTCTGATCCTTTTAGAACAAATGCTCTCATTGGAAAAATTCTGAGTTGTCTCAGCTGGGTGTATTTCTGATAAATCACCACTAGAGGTCTTCCTTTAACCTGTTGAACAACTCAGTTGTGCAATATTGTATGTAGATTTTACCTGTTGCTGAAGTCCAAAGGCCAGTGAGCATTCCTGTTTTATCTTTCTTGATTCTAATACCTAAGAACACATCCTTTATTCCCCAGCATCCAAAGCAGATGCATGTAGGATATCAATGGTTGGGAATAACAGAAGGAACTTTTTCAGTGCTGCATCTCCTACCTCATTGTATGGTGTGGAGCCTGTCATATCAAAGAGTATTAGTGTGCACAATTTGCATGTTATCAACCCCATTTGAAGCTGCAACTGCTAGTAGTTACAAAGATGTGACATCTCTGCCTTATAGGAATAGCCTGGTATCAGGATACTTCCTATTTCCTTTCCTATTCATAAAATGTGGATTTTGTCCCTTTCAAGTTCTTAGATTGAGAGTTTTGAGCAGAGAAGGGAGTTTTGTGTTGTATATTAATTGCTAATCAATAGACATAAAGTCATTATATGTTGATTTCCTCCATTTTTCCCTTTAATTGGACTATCCTTTGTAGAATGACCTCTTCTCCTGGGCTAGCAAACCCACTGAATCCTTATTTTTCATGTTCCTGGATTCCTATATGCTTCTTTGATGACTACCCAGGCGCACATTTCACATGTTAATGTCATTCTGTACAGACTATACAGTTCTGGTACTTAGAGGTGAAGATGTCAGATCAGACTCCAAGCGTGCTACAGTTTGTACTGCCTGTGTGGTAAAACAGGTCAACTTCTCTGGCTTACCCAGTTTCTGAGCAGCTTCTCCCTCAGCATTTTAGACATTCTGTGTTGTCCCAGTTCTGAAACCCTGATAAAGAGCAACTCTTCTGAAACTTTACTGTGATGCTTGCAGCCAGCTGGAATGGCTCCTGTTGAGCATATCTAGTTAAATCTTTGCAGTATGTCATATGGTTATCATTAGGGTCTCAGTGCCAAACGTACTCATGGCATGCCTGCTACAATACCAGTTACATTAACATGTTAAATATGGATGTAAAAGCTAAGGCTTGTAAGCGCTGGCCATTTACACAGCATGAGAGTACATGTTCAGTATTGCAACTAAAATCCTAGACTGTACTATGTTATGTACACTTGGTTTTCTTTGTTATTTATTGAATGGTAAAGCAATAGAAGATGGCAGAAATAAACTGACAGGGAACTTTCTCTTGTAGAGTATAATCATACATACTAGATGCCAGTGACATTAGTATGGATATATAGACTAAGCCTTACTACTAAATGTATTTCAGCTGTAGCAGTACTTTAACACAGTATTTGTGAACTTGCTATTCATTTTATAGCAGTATATTTTCAAACGGTTCCGAAAAACCCACTTTTCTTTCCATTGCTTCTTGGACCAAAAATGAGGTCTGCAGGTCTGAGAAGCTATCTGTGAGTAATGTGCTTTGTGCTTACATTCCTGTCACTAAGATGTTTGTGGTAATTTTGAACAAAGGGTTTCTTTTTGATGCTGAGCAAAACTCATGACTGGGCTCTTTCCTCTTGCGCAGTGCAAAAGATCCCCACAGCACTTCAAGCCTTATCTGACGCCTGACTTGCCAAAACGTTTCCACTATGCCAACAACATTCGTATTGATAAAGTTCATCTTTTGGTGGACCGACAGTGGCTGGCTGTGAGGTAACATAATTTTTGTGACTGTTTTCTTATTTTTTTCATCCCATTCTCACCCTTTTCATTTCCTTCACAGATGCCTCATTTCCTGTTTAGCTTTAGACTTGTTAGATTTCCATGTCTGTTACATTTAAAATCTTACTATTTGTAAAAAGGAAATGTGCCATAAACATAAAGCCAAGAATGCATTATTAGTATGATTCAGATCTTAACAGTCTAATAAGAGAATCATTATTACTCTAGATCAAATATTTACAGGAAAAAAAAAGAAAAAGAAAATAAATTAATTCTACTACACAGAAGAAGTCTCAAAAATAACGCAGTTAAAATTGTTATACAAAGTCTTCCTAGTACCTAGCCCTTTTCTTGGTGTTACAGTCACACCTCCACATGTAATGTATGCTAACATTACAGCTTGCTTATTCTTCACTGGCCTGCAAGTTAACTTAACATCTCCATTCACTAGATATGATGCATTCTACACTTGTTAGGTATTTGTTCTTTATTCTCTTTTTTACCTCTAAGTCTGGTTTTGCTCAGTTCCAGGTGTGCATTTCTTTAATTGACCAACAGTAAGTTGTTTCTAGCCTTGAGGTCTCCATTCTACACAGAATAACTAATTCTTATTGCTATCTATATAAAAACTATGTCTTTGCCATGCAAAGATAAGCTGATAAGATAACAAATTAGACATAATTGGCTTGTCATTAAAAAAATTGACATAAGAGCTAAACAATAAAAAAATAGCTCTAAGCAAGTCAAGAGCAGTTCAGACAAGCCTTAGTCATGAGGCTTTGAAAACTCACTACAAAGCCTGTGGTGTTGGTAACAATACTGTATTTACTGAGATCATGTTGCAGTAGGAGAAGCATGAGCTGACTTAGAACTTCAAGGCCATTCAAACAGCAGAAAATGCCTAATCAGTATATGACTTGATTGTTTGTTTTGACGCAACCAAATAATTGTCCTGGACATATAAGAAGAAATACCCACTGAAAAAATCTCATATTCACCCTTTTTTAAACTGTGCTCAAATGTTCTTGTGCCTCTAAAAACAGGATACGTGTGCTTGGCAGCTGTGCATTGAATCAGTATCAGATGACTGTCTCTTTGTCTTTCCATATGTCTCAGCAATGGATAAATTAAAACAAGTGTTAGTCATTATAAGTCAGACTATTCTGACATGTTATTAATTCTATAACCCACACACACATCCTTATCTCTCCTTCACCCTTTAGAATCCATGATGAAAATGCACTGTCTTGTAAGGCAAAATCCCTTGCAGTCTTGTTTATGTTGTTCCACAGAGGCTACCAGCAGAGTTCTGTCATTGTATGTTTCTATTAAAAGGCAGATACCACAGAACATAATTTGAGAAGAAACTTCTTCTCAGTGAGGGTAACAGAGCACTGGAACAGGCTGCCCAGAGAGGTTGTGGAGTCTCCTTCTCTGGAGACGTTCAAAACCCGCCTGGACGCCTTCCTGTGCAACCTCATCTAGGTGTTCCTGCTCTGGCAGGGGGATTGGACTACATGATCTTTTGAGGTCCCTTCCAATCTCTAACGTTCTTTGATTCTGTGATTCTGTGATAACTGAGGAATTATTTCTAAGCAGATTACACTTGTTCCGAAACTTGTAGCTAGGTGAAGGTCTCAGTTCAAAAACAGCTGTGTTTTCAATTTATTTTGAAAACATCGATTCACTGTACCATCAGTAGCTACCTAGGATAATTTATTTCTGTCCATAGCAATCTCTGTTACAGGAGAAAGCTATCTTCATAAAAGTGAACACTGGATAAGCAAAAGGTACTGCATCATTATGCCAGAGTCAGTTCTTATGACATGATCTGGAGACCAGTGATTCAGGGTGACTGTTATTAACTGGTTCTATTTGTGCCATTTTTATTTACGCTGTTTGATGGTTTCTCCTTAGGGACATAAGCTACACATCTTGTGATGGGGGTAACCATGGCTATAACAATGAATTCAAAAGTATGGAGGTAAGATGATTTCTATTCAGGTTTTGCACCTTCTTACATAGAGAATCACAATATGCTAGGTGAAACACCAGAATATAGAATATTTTTTGCAGTGTGCTTTTTCTTCTGTGTCACTCAGACATGTAAGCTGCATAACACATACTGGGTCCACATATTCTTATTGCCTTTCATTAATGTGTAGGAAGCCTGCTTCCTGGGGATCCTGTTGTAAAATTGGTCTGGGCTCACCTTAACTCCATGGAGCCAAATAGACTACAGTAAATCAAGCGTACCATGTTTAGCTGTGGGACACTGAATTATTTCATTCTACTCATGCAGCGACTGAAAAATCTCCATAGACTCTTGGAGTTCAGTTGAGCATCTTGAAAGCCCATGTCCTCAAATAAACTAAATCTCGTTGTCTCTGCTTATGTTACAAGACTTAATCATATCATCAGAGCAAAAAAGTCAGTAGTATTATCTGTTCATTAGTATAGCCTGTAGTGCAGTTTCATCTCATTTTCACTTCTGGTTACAGTGTAAATAATTTGAGGTCTTGAGCTTTTGTTTTTTCATGTACTTTCTGTGATGTGAACCTTTAAGTAAGGTCAAGCATGCCACTACTAGTCCCATATTCTGTGCTGAAGAAAAAAATTCTTCCAGATCTTCACAACTGTCATAAAACTCCTTGTCAATGTATTGATGAGAATGGTGCTTGAATGTTTGTATGGAAAGAAAAAAAAAAATCTAGTTAACATGGAAACTTTAATCATAGATAACCTTATGCTGGTGGCACAATGACTGAGGAAAATTTTTTTCTTTATAAAGGAGCAAAATGTCTTAATGCTGTCCTTTAAAAAATAAATGAAAAATTCTTTTTCTACTATGGAAACATAAGAATGTTATTTTAGAACAGGTCATTGTCCTGTTTAGTCATGTTTCCTGTATCCTATGGCAGACAACTCAGGAGGCTTATAAAGTAGTAGAAACTGAGACTGTAAGTAGTATCAGTGTTCTGCTATGATGCTTGCAGACCCTACTACATTGTACCATTGGTGGTACTGATGCAGGTCTCTACTGAGCTTGGGATAGGTCTCCGCAGTTCTCTGATCCTTGCTTTAGCCATGGCTATGGGCTCTGAAGTGACCCAAAGACTTTTGAGAATGCAACATGTATTAAAACAAACCAAGCAAACAAACAACTCCAGTTCCCCTCCAGTGCTTATATTTCTGGCTCAATATTAGCCTTTAGATAGGATCTGTGAGTGTCATAACTCTGCATTTGTTGAAATGTCATTGTTATTAGCTGTTGGAATGAAGATATAAAAAGGTGTGAATTTGAAAAATATCAACCAGTATTTTTTGTAAGTATGCATCAAAGTATTAGAGAACAACACTCCCCCCGCTTCATTATGTAGTTTAAAGTAACCTAAGAACCAGATTTATGTTTTGCATTTTTCTTCAAATTACATGTAATGGGCCAAATTTACCTTCTTTACCAGAACGGTCCTACATTTTAACTTTGAGACTGTGAAAAAACTATATTTTGTTCCAGTGCTTCTGTTTCAATTAAATGCAACTGATCCCTAACGTTCTGTGATTCTGTGATTCTGTGATTCTGTGATTCTGTGAATTGTTTTTGAATTTGAATTCCTTTCGATAGCAAATTTTATTTTATTGCAATCTAGGCTATATTCTTAGCATATGGTCCAAGCTTTAAAGAAAAAACAGAAGTGGAAGCTTTCGAAAACATCGAGGTTTACAACCTTATGTGTGGTGAGTAGAAACAATCCAGTACTTTAAATTATAAACCAACAGTGTTTTCAAATACCAGCGTTGTAAAAGCTAAGAGTAACTAAAAATTCAGTGAATTCATTTAGAAGCTACGTTTTTCACACAAAGCACTGAAGCCATGCTCTTTTTCCTTCTGTACAGTGCTAAAAAATAATTGCCAGAAATTGTTCTATTTTGAAGGTAATTTCTGATTGCAGGAGTCCACTAAAGAATCAGAGAGAAGCTCTCCTGCCATGTGGACTTGCTGTTGAAATGGTGCCTGTGGGCACCATTGTGGGTTAAGAATCTTGTAGAGAGTTACCATTCGTGTTCGTAACTAAGACGGACCACTGCAGTCCCAGCAGTGACTAATTAGTTAGTATGTGCCTCAGAAAGTATGAATTAAGGGATCACACAAATATGCAATAGGCTAATATGCTTCACAGTGTGATGCATTTGCAATCACATTTGTACTCTGCATTAAATCATCTAATCTTATTAATCTCATGGCAATGTATAAAACTGTATCAGTGGTACTCAAGTACATGATTATCAAATCTTGATACAGTTGAAGATAACAATGAACCTTCATACCTAGAAAACTGCAAGTTGATGGTGGGAGTTACCATAATAGGTTAGGTAACAGAAAAAGCTATTTCTTATCACAGAAACATTGAATCATAGAGTGGTTTGGACTGGAAGGGACCTTAAAGATCATCCAGTCCAACCCCCCTGCCATGGGCAGGGACACCTCCAACCAGACCAGGTTACTCAAAGCCTCATCCAACCTGGTCTTGAACACTTCCAGGGAAGAGGCATCCACAGGTTTTCTGGGGAACCTGTTCCAGTGTCTCACTACTAGATGTATATTCTTCTATAATGAATGCATAGGAAATGTGTAGACTTGGAAAGATAATTATGTTTAAAAATGCCATTTTAGTCTTAAAATAGCTTTAAAATATGTGTATAAATTCCAAATGTTTCAACAGATTTGCTGCGTATTACACCAGCACCAAACAATGGCACACATGGCAGCTTGAATCACCTTTTAAAAACCCCTTTTTACAATCCTTCACATGCAAAAGAAGACTCATCTCCTTCTTCATGTCCAGTTTCCAGTCTGACTCCCATAGACGAACTGGGATGCACATGTGTGCATGTAAGTAGGTGCTTCTGAGATCTTCTAATCACTTTTGTCAAGTGTGTTCTCTTTTCTTTGGTTTATTCTAAACTGTGGATTCATTCTGAATGATTCTTTTATATTTTGCAGATATTAGATGCTTCAGTACTAAATAAGAGGTTAAATCTCACCACAGAAGAAAGTAAGTAGCAAGATACGAAAAAGACAACAATATTTTTAAATCTATTACTGGTTCAGATTTTATATTATTGGTTTCAGTGGAAATTTTTGCAATATTAATTACAATTTAAATTGAAGTAGGAGAGCCAAGTCAGAAGCATAACTTTTTTCTTTTTTCTTTGCATTTCATTAAAAAATGTTAATTGATACTGTTATAGCAACATTTATGCATAGGAACCAGATCTGAATCCCATTAAAATCTTCAAAAAAACCATACAGGTTTCAGTGGTCTTTCGAGAAAGCCTGAGCACTTCCAGGCTATATGCTATAACTGTTTTTCTCCACCTTGTAACCATAATTTTACCTTCATCTGATCAAAACTTCCCATAGATATTTCTATGTGCTTTTTAGTGGGGTTCCTGGAAATTTTAGGAAGCATTGTAATGCTTCCTAGCCAAATAAGATGTAAATTTCACTTCACTGGCAAGAGAAATTAAAAAGATTTCTATTGACATGAAATTGCAAAGAAACAAGAATTTGGAAACCTGATATATTACATTGACTTCTGTATGTTAAACATAACATGAAAACTATTTTCTATGGTTTATATTCCACTCAGAATCTGGGAGCTTAAAGAAACACATGCCCATGTTTACTGTTGGTTTCATTTGTAGATATTAATGTTTTAATTTACATTTTTCTCTGCTCTCTTAAACTTTTGTGCCATCCAAAATCTTATAGAAGGATGAATCAATAATTATTGCTTAAATTTTAGTAACAAAGGCAAACTTGTATCATTTGCCATACGGGAGACCCAAAGTTCTTCAGAAGAAAAATGTCTACTGCCTTCTTTCGCATCATGGGTATGTGAGTGGATACAGCTATGATATCTGGATGCCACTGTGGACTGCATACACTGTGACTAAGCCTGTAAGTTATCAAATATCCGTACTATTCTTAAATATATAATATAATGGATTGAAAATGTGGTTCATTCATCAGGAATCCTGGTTAAGGACTGGTGGATACCAGGTGACTAAGACCCTTATGTCTGAAAAAGGGTGTTTGATGTCTTTTAAGTTTCATCTATCTTAAAATATTTTTTTAAGTAGGAATGTCCATCTGTTAGGTTCACAAAAGATATAGAAAAATAGATCTGCTGGTAAGCTTGTTCCATTAAGCCTGTTTTGTAAAAGGGATAAGCTCTCAAGACAGTGCTCCAACTTGCCTGAGGAAAAGCAGGCTGTGATTTCCAAAATCAGAAGCTTTTAAGCTTTCCATGAGTATCATGATCTTTTTCCTGTTAATTCCTCCTATAATTTGATGCTTTTTCTAAGTTTCCCTGAGGAAATATATTTTACACTGATTTTTTTCTGTCTGAAGAGAACTGTTATTGATGTCTACATTATTTCTTATGTTATCAGTATAAATAGGAAGAAAATATTTTAATCAGATATATGCTGCTAGAATGTTAGTATTTCAGAAAGTTTTTCGCCATACTTTCTACTGATTTTTCACAATCTGGGTGAAGGATCACAGCAAATGGCTGGGACTGAAGTATTGAAGGGTACAGACAGTTCACAGCAGACTAATACAGTGAGATATGTTTTCTATAGAAATAATAAATTTTCCCTGTAATACTGTCAGAGACACAATGATAGAAGGCTGTAAGTGAGCTCACTCACTGACTTACCTTACACAGTAAGCTGACATCACTGTTTTTTATTACATGTACTAATCAAGAGAAAAAGCTTTATAAGTTGTAACAACAGTGGAAGGACTGAGGGATAGAACTAATGACTTTGACTGTAAGCTTTGGCTGCAATACTTGGGAATGACAGAAAATTGCAATTCCTACAGAATTTTTATTGCATTGTAGATTATTTATGTTGCGGATAAAGCCTGTGCAGTGATTTACACAGGTTTTAAGGTGGGGCATTTCTTGACATTAGGTAGCTATAAAGAAGGGCTTAAACAGTAAAATAGATAATGAGGGCTAAAGTTTTGCTGGTTTTGTGTGATTTGGAAGTTTTGAAACTGGGCTGACTGATCAAGCCCACACACTATTATTGAGCCTACATGTAATATCAGAACCAGGGGTATTATGAATAATATATAGTTACAGATCTTAAATCAATTATATCAGATAGAGTTTTTTGTTACTTAGTATTTTCAGTCAAAGGAAAATTTAAGTTTGAAGATTTATTTTCTTGAGATTTTATATTCATCTGCCAGTTAGGAAGGCAGATTTTCTTGCAAAACGACAGTGTCTCCACCTGTCTGCAGACACTTGTGGAATTTAAATAGCTTTACTATGTAGAATCACTGAAGTTTACTACAAAAATATATTAACATGTGTAACAATCTAATCTATCCTGCATTGGAATGAAAACAGCAATGAGATTTGTATAAATCGCTGGAATTTTTGGAACCAAAGCTCAGTGCGCTGGATATTATGGGAGTTTTGGTTTTGCGGCTTAGTAATTTTTCTTCTTGACTGCTGAAAAAAGATTCCTGGAGGTGGCTGAAGTTGACATGACAGACCACAGCAGATGCTTAAAGTCTGTCATGTAATGCAAATAACTCATGCTTCTTGACATTAATTACTCGCTTATCAAAGACAATATCGTGCATCAGAAAAGGTAATGCATGTTGTCATAGACACAGCCATTTTTCAGTTGTAACTTTTCTTCAGAAGACATTATGGTTCTTTGACCTGAAAGACAAGGAGCCAAAGGGCTAAAGCTGTTGAATGGGTGATGAATGTTTTTTTTTTCTGAAGCTGAAATTTTGAGGCAGTGGCCATCACTGTCAAGATCTCCATTTTTAAATCAATGAGCACTTTCATCAGTTTCTTTGAGAATTGCTCTATTCTTATTGATACATAATCTGTTTAAAAATAGGTTATTCTTCTATTTTGAGGAAAAGAAATAAAGAGAGGTTGTAGCAGTGTGGGTGTATTAGTTCACAGAGCATTAGCAATGTAGCTGCCAATCAGGGCTTGCATTAACTGTTGATCTTATTGTACTAACAGGTGAACACAGACACAGCCATTCTCATCTCTCAACAGCTTTTAATATTGTTTACTTCCTGACTTGTAGATCCTTGAAAAAACAAGCTGAAATATTCATGAGTGGTTGCTTTTTTGGTATTTTGAGAATTCGTAGGTTCATCAGGAATTCTCATTTCTTCCATTGGTCGATTTTCTCCTGTGATATACAATTGAAATAGCCATGAGCAACCTTCATCTCCTAAACGTATGGGAGTGTTTGTGGAAATACAGGTTATATGACGTATTACATATGTGACAGACAGCCAGCTCTAAAACACTGTCCTCCTGCCTTGGTACTTGGATTAGACATTGTAGCTTATATAGTTAGGTTCAAGAAATGTGAACTATTAAGAAGAGAACTGAGTGATGTGCTCATCACTTCAAGTTGGAGAAAATGTGAATGCTATTAATAACCTAGATTCATTATGTAGGTCAAAAGTAGATTCTCTGCTGTATTTGCATAATATTAGGTGTGACCACTGTATTTAGTGAGAAGAATTAAGTTCTCTTCATGACAGTCTTTGGCACATTTACTCAAACCTTTGTTGCTCTGATTCAGGTTTTCCTTCAGAGACCATAAAGAAGTTGAAGCCATTGTTTTATATCATAGCTCAATTATTAAGTTTAAAATACTGGTTTCTTCAGTGACCTTGATCCATTAGCTCTGCCATATTGATTTGGACACTAGAAAGGACAAGTTGCTCAAATGAACTGGATGTCAGTTTTGTATTGGGATTTAAATTTCCTTGACAATGACAGCTTATCTGCTCAGGTGTCAAAGGCAGTCTTTTGTCTTTCATATTTCATTCCATGTGGTATATAAGTTTTCCATTAATGTCCAACCTGACCATAATATGGGCATCTACAGGAATTATCATAAAAGTAAGCAAAGAAATTAAGTCAAGGAGTACAAAGAGGCATAAGAAGAATATTCCAGTTCTTTATTTCTGCTCAGTTTTAACCAATCAAAATAAACAGTATACTAAAAATTGACTTAGATGTTTACCATTTATAAAGCTATAAAGCAAATAAATACGTTCAGTTCTTACCAAAATGAAAAAAAAATTACTTGTAAATGAGTATGAAAAATAAAATGCAGTTAAACACTGGAAATTAATGGTTAATGCTATCATGAAATTACAATAAGGGTTATAGAAACAATTATCACAATCACTTCTGGCCAGATCTTAGCTAGTGTGCATGTTAACATGTCTCAATGAAGTCAGTGAAGCTAGCCAGTAAAATGTACTGAATTTACTATGAATTTATTTAGCTTTAACTTGTCAGCAGCACAGACTCTTATTATGGAGACAGAATCCTCAGATGCGAAGATGAGGTGATAGCGTAATCTTTATATACTAGCTGCTTTCCAGGAGGATGTGACATCAAGTTTGTGTTTCCAGAAATATGTAAAAGTGACGAATAAGCCAAACGTGTCGCCTGTTTTTGCCTAAGTTATAACCTTATTTTACTACTACAATTTTACATGCTGCATAAGGATTTCCCTGAATTACCTAAAAACAGAAGTAGGGGAAAAACACTAGGCAGAAAACATCAGTGTACATTACTTGCATTGACCTGATTCACTATGAAAATAGGAGAAGATTCAATGAAGTCTGTTCTAGAAAGTTAAAACCATACAAAGCACTGGGTTAGCCACAGACGTGGGTGTAATACTTTTTTTTTTTCCTTTTCACAGGAAAACGCATCTCCTCTTCCTCCCACTGTTTCAGACTGTCTGCGGGCTGATGTTAGAATCCCTGTTGATCGGAGCCAAAACTGTTCTATCTACTACCCAGAAGGGCTGGCCTTCACCCGCAGCTTCCTCTATCCTCCCAGTGAGCATGGTTCTTTTTATAGCTAGGGCTTAGAAAGTCTTAATCAGCTGGATGTGGGTTCATGTTTAAACATATATTCAAACACCAAAACAAACCTCTTTGGATCAGCATGTTGGGCAGAAAAAGGTTTCCAGTGTTTGTAGACTGACCAAAAGCAGGAGAACTGCTACTTGTATCTAAATATTTTCAGTTTAGAATATTTTAGTTTTTCTTTAACAAGTAGAACAACTTGAATATGATGAAAACTGGTTGGAAAGATGTAAAGAGTTGCAGTGAATGGCTGTCTCCCTTCCTTTATATGAATGTCCATTTCCTATTGTGAAATTTGATAATTACTTTATTGAACAGATTGTACAAATATATTTGGAGATATAGTTGCAGTAGGATCATACACTCATGCTCAAATGTAAAATGTAATTGAATTACATGTGCTTGCAGTTTAGTGACATATGAATCAAATTCATCTTGGCGTTTCATTACTTTGTATTTTTTTTCTTTGTTTCATTACTTTATACTTTTTTATTTTATATAGACTTCAGTTCATCTGATCTTGAACAGTATGATGCCTTACTCACCAGCAATATTGTTCCCATGTATAGAGCTTTCAGAGGTAGGTTGCAAAGTTTTGATTAATTTTCTGTACTTATGGTTCTGGATTTGATAAAGCAATGACAAGGACTTAAAAACATTACTGCATGGCCTGTAGTATATCCAGATCCTGTGCAAATATTTCTAGAACTTTTTTAAAGTAGATGAGTGAAATTTTAAAACACACTTATTGAAGTTAATTTTTTTTCTATGTGTAGTCCTGTCTGACATCTCCCTAGGTGTACCTGTTCACTTTTGAATTTTCTCTTCATTTCCTGTGTGCTGTCTTAACATGAAATGCTAACAGTGAAACTCTCATGAAAATATCCCCTTGGGGAATGCTCAGAGTGAATGAAAGTGGTCTCAGGACAAGGCAGGACCAAGTTTGTAAACAATGCTTTGATACAGTGCCTGTTTTCTCACTCAAACTCAAACCACACAGTTTTAATCTTGGAATATTTATTTCAGGCAGATGTTTTTATTGTACAGGTGCAGTAAGCTACATTAACTCTTTCCATCCGAACTGGCTTACATTTGTTTATAATCACTGATAAGAAATTTTCTAAAACTGCATACCGTCCTGCTTTTTCTTAGACAAAGGATGGAAAGAGGAATTGCGTAAGGAAAATGCTGGAGGAAAAGCAATCATGCAACTCACTTTCTAATGCATTCAGACCTCATTAATTCATTCACTCATGTAATAAAAAACAGAGATCCAGAAAACCTAAGTGTCTCTAATCTTCGGAGTAAAACAAAGGTATTATGAAAAGAAGTACATTTTTCTGAGGAAAACTCTACAAGATATTTAAACTTATAAGAAGTTACTCTAGACCATAAACAGAAGGCAAATCACTAGGGGATGCCCTCAGCCCCTCAAAACTCATCTGTTTTTTTTGCCGCAATAGCTGTAAATAATTGAATGGTCTCACTAGCTTATATCCTACAAATTGTATTTCCTCAACATCTGTGAAATAAAGCAAATTGTCGAGTGATATTTGACATGAGTTCTGTAGAGTTAGACTAACTCTCAGGTGCCAAATATTCATCTCACAAAGCTATAATCTCAGTTCCTACAATTGGTGCAGTTGCAGGTGCTAGCAGGTAGGCCAGAAATGAATGACCTCTCAGCTCCAGAATTGTACCTTTGACTTCAGATTGAATGCATTATCTCCAGTAGTGCAACAGACCTTGCAGAGCTTTAATAGCATTTACTATGCCTCTTTCAATGGTGGGTGAGAGTGTGTGCCTTCAGATGAAATCCAAATGTTGTGTAACGAAGAGTTGATTTTACAGGCAGTTTAGTTTGGAACTTTTTATTATTCATCCATAGCAAAAAAAGGAAATATGTTCTTTTTCTTTAGTGGTGAAATAACTTCAAATTTTGTTAAATATGCTTATATTTTCTTTTAATGACAGACATATGGGACTATTTCCATAATGTCCTTCTTCAGGAGTATGCTAGAGAAAGGAATGGAGTAAATGTTATCAGTGGACCAGTGTTTGATTACAATTATGATGGCCATTTTGATACTCTTGATGAAATTAAGCAGTAAGTAAACGGAAAAGCCAGAAGTCAAACTCCAGATTATTTCCCACTGTATTTCCACACAAACATACTTCTATTCAAAAAGAATAAGAAACAAATGTCACAAAGAATGGAGTATTGCCTTTATGATACGACATCTGCTGTTACTCATACAACAGCAAATACTCTTATAAACAGATACAGTAGATGCTGAAGTTCCAGTAAAGAGAAAAAAGCTTTGCAGTTCCATGTGTATTTATGTACGCATGGACAGGTACAGACTAGTAATTTGTTTCCCAAGCTTATGCCTAGATTTCTGGACTTCTGCAACAGAAATACTGGGAGAATATATGACATCTAAATAAGCAGAAGATGTGTGCAAACATAATTTTCTCATTTTCATGTTGTGCTCACTCACCTGTTTGATGTTTCTCCCTGTTGTCTCAAACTGATGTGCTATATCAAACATCAAATTTCTGTGTTTGCCTTCCCTGAATCATGTACCTGGGAATGTAAAATGTAACATTGTGGAGCGTCTTCTTTGCGTGGCTATGGCTTACACAGGAAACTTTAAGTTCTGACAAGTTCTAGGTACATTTTAGTGAGTTCTGGTAACATAGCAAAATACATTAAAAAATAATCTGTCTGTGGAAACAGGAATAAGAGAAGACTTAAACAAAAAAATCTTCAGAAGAGAAATATAAAAGATGAACATAAATTATTTCTATTAGTGAATGAGGACAGAAGGAGGAAAAAACAGAGTAAGAATAAACAACTTAAGATTGTTCCAAATATAGGAAAAACGCCTTGTGACAGTAAGAACACTTACGTAGTAGAAAAGTGCTGGGAAATCTGCACAGTTGAATCTGTCACTGGAGATGTTTTATTCAAGGCTAGACTTAATACCACATCTGTCAAAAATGGTTTGAGAATGGGAAAATGAGCTCTGCCATGATGTGGGAGGGTGGAAGGGAGGAGAGACTTGAACTTCCTTCCAAGCAGAATGCTGTAATACCCAGTTGACCACATAATGTTGCCTACAGTTTGGAATAAGCATGTTTCATTCAGCATGGTTAGTCAGTCATACGAAGCAGTATAATGATTTCAGTGATGGTGTTTTGTTGAATACTGAAGATATGCTGTACATTTGAGAAGCATTCAGCTCCTTATAATTTTATACACAAAAGTGCCTATGTTCACAGAGTAGCCAGAACAGAGAGGCAAAGACATTTTGAATCAGATATCGTAAACACAAGTCATCATTCTGACATTTCTTACTGGCAAGGAACAAGAAGTTAATTTTCTTGTCACTCTTCTTCCAGTTCAGTTTATTGTGGTTAAAATTCTTAATGTAATGAAGGGCAAATATGCATGCTCTCTGTCTCTGGTTTTGGCAAAATACAGTGTTGACCATATAAGCAATCCTGTTGGTTTCTGTGGAACTTCTTGTAGTAAAAGGACTAATCCACATGTGTCTGGCTATTCATGAAACAGATATTGAGCCTGTCTATCCCATCAGTTATTTCTTTCAATCATAAAATAAAGTTGTACAGTTTTGAAAGATCTATGCTGAGATAAGTTCTATAAATCAATAAAGGCATCAGTGGTTTTAATACTTGATATCTAGGTAAATCCCTTAATTAATGTTTGTTCTGTAGGTATGTAAACAATACAGAAATCCCTGTCCCAACCCATTACTTTGTGGTTCTGACTAGCTGCAAGAACAAGTCCTATACTCCACTGAACTGTTTAGGCTCCTTGGATGCTTTGTCATTCATCATTCCCCATCGACCTGACAACACTGAAAGCTGTGCTGTAAGTATAATACTTCTATGCTCCTGTGTGCCAGTGAGCTTTGTGAACTGATTCTCACTGGAATCCAGTCATCTGAAGAGCCTTTAGAAGTCTAAGTGTTTAATTCCCAATAAATTAAGAGTGACTTCAGAGTTAAGTGATGCCTAGGAGAGCAAGAAGGTCCAGGAGAGGTAGCTGGAAACTGATGAGCTGATAGGAAGCAAGGAAGAAGAAGAAAGGAGGCTTTGATAAGAGGACTTGAGAATGCTGTCACCTGAAAATAACTGAGAACAGCAGCACAGGCAACAAGGTGATGAGATAGCTTTATGCAAGGCTGCAGGATAAACTTACTCCAGACGTATCAGGGGACTTTGAGTGTCACTTGCTTCAGTGTATCTAGAAGAATTCCTTCAATCCTTTGTTCCACCTTTATCAGAAATCAGGCAGTAGACATTCAAATGAATGGTCTGCAGTTCAAATTCATACTTGAATTAAATAAAATCTATGCTTACCATTAATGGTGTAAATTTCATGTTTTATAGCAAACAAAATAAATTAACTGAGTGTAATATGTACTGTTGATCCAGCTGAGTGTCTGCTCCAGAAAATTTGGGATGCAGAAGGTTCTTTAGCTCAGTGTGTGTGTTACAAATTCTCCCCACGCACAAGTATAGCTGCACAAACTTGAGCTGGCCCTCAAAGCAATACAATTGTGTTTAGTTAGTTTATTTATAACTTTGAACTCATAACTCCAGACAGGTGCAAGCTTGCACTGCTTAGAACTTGGGTGTCTCCTCATTTGTGGTGTGGGTAATCCACAACTGCTCAGTGATCTTTTTGTTTGTTGAAGGTTGATTAAATATACAAAATAAGTAATTTTAATGAATTAATTATACTTCAGTAATTAACATGTTATTTCTGAAGTTTTGCAACAAACCCCAAATATCGTTGCACTTTGTATTCATTATGTCTTGCAGTGATGTAAATTTGGTGAATCATTTGTGTTAGAATCAGATATTGTTAATGGAAAAGCAAATTACCATCTGTTTGCAGGAAAAACTTTGTAGTAAAAGAATTGAACAGTAACATTTTTGATTGATTAGTGCTTACGTTTCCATCCTTTTTCCTGTCTATCTAGCAATTATTATTGCTGTCCAACAATCAAGACTGAGCTGCTGTAAAGACTTCATTCAGGTTGTCAGGTCCTGTTGTTTGGCTAGCTTGAGCACTGCAGCTGATTTATACTGTAACTAAAACTATCCTTACCTGTGTGTTTAAAACATGATTCAACTGTACTTCATGGCCGGAAGTCATGCTTACCATTTCAGCATGATTTTGCTTCTCCATTACTTGGAGCTGGCAAGATGGGACTTCCATTCGATTCTGTTTGAATGAGATCCCTAAATGCAAAGCTGCAAAGATGTCTAGGAAAACCTGAATCTTCATTTAACCAACTGGAGGCCTTTTGTCTGTCAAACCAGTTCAAACACTGGTTATTGTCTACCACCACTAAACAGTGCCTTTTGTGTGTTTAAACATTTTTCTTGTTTGTTTTGGCAGGAAAATAAGACATTTTCCGAATGGGTTGAAGAAAGAGTTCAGGCTCATTCTGCACGTGTTCGGGATGTGGAGCTGCTAACTGGGCTTGACTTTTACCAGGAGAGAAAGGAACCCATTTCTGAGATCTTACAGCTAAAGACATTTTTGCCAGTATTTGAGACTGAAATTAACTGAGTGTCTTTTAAAAACGTGTCAGTGCTTGGAAGAAAGCAAATTTAAGTGGTTTAACTTTTCCCCTTGCTATATATATGTGGGAAACATGACAACAGCTCTTTTATAGGAAAACACACTTAGAGGAGCTAATTTCTTTTTTTCAAATTCACGTTCTTTGGTTAAGAGTTTTGTTTCAACTAAATAAAAATTACCTAAGGTAAATTTATTGCTTTATTGCTTATTTATTAAGGTAAATCATCATTGCTGGGCCAGGCTTTTAAAACAGAGAGTATTTTATTAGTAGTAGTTTGAAAGAAACCTGCAAAAGGAATGTATGTCATAGTTGAGAGATCCAGAACTATAAAGTGTATAGGAAATGTTTTTATAATGGAGTTGGAAAGTGAAATAGTTTGAGGGGAGTGTGTGTGGGTTTTTCCCTTGTGTGTGTCAGAGAGCTTATGGTTATCTAATACCAGTATGTCCTGAAATGTTCTGAATTTCTCTTTCTCACCTATTAAACTACATGGGAACTGCTATATATTTTCACAAAACCCATATTCAAGCTCATAAAAAGATTATTTATAGTGGAAATATTTTCTATGATCATTCCCTGTGTTTTCCACTTGGCTTAATTCATGATGCTAGTAACAAGTGACATGAAGTTAGAGTAACTGAGCTGTATTCTGTACCCTTCAGAAATCTTGAAGCACTGAACATGAAGAGATAAAAGAAATGCTCTAGCCAGAAGCATTTTGTCTGTATATTTACCGGTCTTTGCAATTATTTCCAAATGTCTGGCAAAACCTAAATGTTTGTGTCTATTTTTAAATAGCTAAGCCTGAGATTAGAGCATTAAATCAGTATTGACATCTGAAAAATAGTCAGTGTTCCTTTCTGCAGTGACTTTATACACAGAGAGTCTCTAACTCACACTGTGCTGTACACAAATTTCTACTGAGGGAGATAAGTGGGACAAGGCAGTGGAAATTCCCAGATTCTTCTGTTACAGAAATGTCATGCACTAATTGAGTCTTGAGCTGATTTTCTCCACCGAAAATGCTGCTAAGTGCAGGTGTGAATAACAGCAGACAATTGACCATTTGTCTGCTTTATAGGAACAGTGTGGGAGTTTTAAAAAAGCATGTCGAAGAGTGTTTCAATCTGCAACTAAGAGTGGAGTGAATTAGATATGTCTGTTTAAAACAGGGAAGCTTTAAAAGTCTATTAAAAAAAACAAACCAAAACAAACCAAACAAACACCAACCAAAAAACCCACAGGACATTTTCCCCCATGTCCTAGATGATCAATGCATGCACATACACTCCAAACATAGCTTAGCAGTATTTATCTAGCACCAAGATGTGGGACCAAGCTGAACGTCAAGATTTGTGTCCTTGGTTAAACCATTACACCATCTCCTTGAACATGGAATTGTATTTCACCCTGCAACACTGTGGCATCTAAATCTGTCCATCTAAATTGGAGACTACTGCTTAACTACCTCAATTAAGAGTATAACTGCTTTTTCACTGCATAGTAAATCATACCCTAACTCAAGTCAATGAATCTACATAACACATAACAATTTAGGCATGTAAATTAACTAGTTTAGAATCACAGTTAAATTCAGACATAAGAAAACAAACAGGTTTACATATTTGGTATGTCTACATTAGCAATTTAAAGTAGAACTAGCTTGACTGATGTGATACTGTTGTGATTCAATATATTTAAATTTGAATTAACCCCTATATCTCCAACTGTGACAGAATACAAGCTTCAGGCCAATACTCTAGTTGAATTATGAAAGCAAATTCGTGGTATAGATATGAGTTTGCGAAGAGTTACATTCTCGGTTGAATTATGTATATCTCTGCATATCTGCATAATGAAATAATGTCTTTGAGGTTTGTCCAGACTTTCATCCATTGTCTCATGCACAAATGGTACTAGACGTAAATATCAGGAAAATTAATTTGCTGTCCTCCTTCACAAAATTCTTTAATATTCTTCTTTGTTAAAATGTCTAGTCTTCCCCCTTGCCAAAAACACTCCACCTTACTGATAGAAGTTGGCTCCTTCTATGTAAAGATCCCATCCTATCAGGACGACAAAAACTGTATTTCTCGTTCAGTATCATCTAACACGAGAGAATCTTGATTACATATTTGGGTTTTACACAAATTTTGGTGGTGATGGAGTCAGAAGTTGCAGTTACTCTGAGAAAGCAATATGAAAGTGGTTTTGCTATAGTCACGTTTATTTCCCCTGCTATTCATTCAGCTGTCATAATATCTAGCATTCAAAAGCATAGTGGGTCATTTACAGATAAAAATAATTGCATGGGAATAACTAACTGAAAATCTTCTGTGAGTAAAGGACTTGGTTCTTAGCCCTTTAATCTTCTCTTGGCATTGATGTCTGGATACTCTCTTCATGTTGCAGAGTCTCCAGCTTTCTCAGTCCCAATTCTCTATGCAGTGAGTGTGGTACAGCTTCTGTCACACCCCATGACAAACTCTGCTCTAAACTGCTTCTGTCAGTATGTTCCCTCTCCTCCTCCCCAGAGGCTGTAATGTCCATCTGTTAGTTGATCTTGTGGTTTCACAGGCCTCCTTAAACCTGTTGCATCTTTCATTACTTACAGGAACAACCATGGAAAGTTGGGGATTTTTTTCCTCGTCACTACTAAGTTCAACCAAAGAGCCTAGTCATTGACTGCTTTAAAACATGTCTGGATGTCTGACACATAGTGGAAAACTGTGGGCTAAGCTTTCTTGCTTTCCCTTCCCTATTTACATGGCTAACACCTGCATTGGAGATTGGGAGAACTGGTAGTGAAGTGGATAGAATTATGATTAGGGGCCAGATTTGGCTCTGTGTACCACCCTTGTGTCACATAATTAAAGCTGCACATGGGAGGAAGAGCAGCTCTCAAATCCTGGAGATTTATGCAAGGAAAATTCATTGGTGTTTGGGTTTTGGTGACCTTATCTAAAATTTTTAACAGGTTCATAGGCTTGCACAGACATTTTTGTTGCAATTTGAAAATAAATGTAATGCCTTGTCCATTTATAGAAATAAAAAAATTAAAAATCTTGTCAGGTCATAAGGAAACACTCAATACTGTGTACAAATGATTGCATTACCAGTAGAAATATGGCCTGAAACTTATGCAGTTCCCCATGACATTTGTATGGATCTTTTCCTTTTTGAAATAGAGTAATTTCTGCAATTTGCGTGGAGATGGAAATGAACAGCTGCCTGAAACAGAATTTTTGTGCTATCAAAGCTACAAACCAAAGCACAGTCATTTCGAGAATCTAAACAATTTATTTTATTCAAATAACTTTGACCCGGAACATTTCAGCGTTTCAAGACTCTCAAGTGGTTGTCTTGTTTTGCATTTCAAAAGCAAAGAATACCTATTCTCCATTAAAGTTATAAAATATATTAAATGTCTGGTATATGAAGGAGAGTAGGAGGGGAATAAGTTTGATCTTGCAGTTCAAAGGCAGTGAAACCATATGTGACATTGTAAGAAGTCTACTTGGGACATGTTCCTTACTATAGAAAAGCAGGACAGAAGAACAGTTGATTGAATGTATAAAATTGACTATTTTTTAACTCGGAAGTGATGAGAAATTCAGAAGTTAAAATAAAGAAACAGTAAAAGTAACAACAAATAAACAATAACACATCCTAAAACTAGAATATAGCAAATATTTAATTTAAAAACATGCTCTTCCTTTGATAACCACTCTGCTTTGTCCTGAGAACTAAGAAATAATGCTGCTTCTGAAAGTTTCAATCTTCTATATCCTATGGGATGTGAGTATAACTTCCCAAAAATGGCAGGCACTTTGTTTCTGTGTTTTTAGCCAGTTTTGGGACCCCTAAGTATCAAGCTGAAGTGGAATAGACGTAAATAAATCTGCTGATTGTAAAAGCAGATGTTGCTGAGTCCCAGCACTCATAGCCACCTTATATGTGAAAATTAAAAATTTAAATTCTGTAAAACATGATTTTCCATAGACTACTATTGAACCTGAGAAACTGAGCACTCCTGTAGCCACTGAAATTCTAAACTCAGGAGGGTCTGCCTGTTTCCTTCTCTTACAGGGTTTTTTTTCACTCTTAGAGAATTAGAACCAAACCTGTAAGCAAATATAGAAATTTGGCCCTACCTATAGCTGGTCTGGTTTCTGCAGCAAGGCAGGATAATAATGAAAGAGAACAGGCAAGGGAAACACAGCCTACCCTGCTCCAGAAAGTCCTACAGCCAGAGCAGGAAAAACCTTAACTGAAACTTTTTTTTAGCAAGTGTTACTGTGTTTCCCTAACACCACATCCTGGCCCTACAAGACTGTCACCACATAAAACAAACTTTTTTTTTTCCTTAATATTTATTATAGAGACTACTGGCTTTTTGTCAGTACCTCACTGAAGGCCACCTTCAAAGTTGAGTGCAGACATTTAAATGGCATATAATACCCTTGCCTCCCACCTTTGACATTCTTCTTTAAGGAAAATAGTATTAATGGATATAGAAAGGGCTGTTTTTTCAAATCACCTCCCACACTGGTCCTGCAACATTTGTACATAGGATGACGTGATTTTTCACATGCAGAATGTGCAATTCTGTTTGTAGTGAAGACTACAGGAATTATTTTCCTTCCAATAGTCTGGAAGCATCAGGAAATTTGAATCCTTTCCAGTCCTTGAGCAGAAACCAAAGAACAGGAGTGTCCTCAAAAGGATGAAAAGTGGTAGGTATAACATAGTTTGGTATCCATCAGGGACAGGGTTTAGGACAACTTTGAGTTTGGAATCAACCAGATATGAAGCAGGAGGAGTCTTTTGACTAGGATCCAAATACTCTTAAGTATATATATTAAGGAGACCTGGTAACAGATATGGCTCATAAACCAAACTGCCCACTGTCCAGGTAGCTCAGCCACAGCCTGCTGTGCCTGTAATGGCTGGAAGTTGGAAGAAGAGCAAGTGCTTCCCAAGACTG